TATATATATATATAGAGAGAGAGAGAGAGAGAGAGTGTGTGTGTGAGAGTGAGTGAGTGAGTGAGTGAGCTTCATTAGCATTTGCATTTGCTATTACTAATAATACTACTTGATTCGCCATTTTCTCACGAGTAATCCAAAATCGTCAATTGAAAATCCTAGAATTCGATCAATGGTTAAACCCAAGCAACTGAGAGAGATAAGAATGATAGAAATCTCAAGAATTCAAAAATAAATACTCTATTAAACCTAAATTGAGATACAAATTTGACATCATACAACACAGGATCAAATTAAAAGAAAATCAAACCTGCTGGTAGAGAGCATAGAGAAGCAATGCACAACAATACAGAGCTTGAAATCAGAATTAAACAGAGCAATATAGAAATCAACTATGACTAATGAAGCAGATAACAAACAGCAATAAAAAACAAACACAACGCATTAGAAATTCAAATCAAACTATCAATCAAGAAGCGTCTTTAATAGAAAATATAGCAAATTAGAATGTTTGAATCAATTCAGAAAACAAAGTTACATGAGAGAACGATTTTGAATACCAAAGTACAATTTGTTCGATTTGTTTAACATGCATTGCACCAGATCTGGTACATATATATGTACCAATTAGTTCGGTTTTAGGATAATTTGATCAAATGATCGAAAATCTAAAATAAATAACAAATAAATATAGTTTTTTTTTGTTAGCATGACCAATTCGAAAGTCCAAATATTAGACTTAATTTAACATAGCAAAAAAATTTGATCAAATTTTCAACAGGTATTAATTCAACTAAACATTTCAAATACATATATATATATATATATATATAAGTTTTCTTCCAATTGAGTATCAGTTGATCTACAAAATCATCAAATAATCATCAAACGTGTTTTGGCTACCTGAACATCAATGCAAATGCCAAACTTAAAAACTTCACAAAATTGAAATTGAAAATCAATGTACCTTTTTCGTGTGCATCATCAAGCCATTGCAAGTGTAGATCCCAGCATCTTGAAGCTTCTTCACATCTCCGACATTGATTCCATGAGCATCTTAACTCTTCTACACAATTCAATTGAACTCGTCAACATTCAGACCATCTTAACTCTTCAACACAGTTCTTTTCTTTTCTTTTATTTTTTTTCAATTTTCTGGTACAGAAAAGAAATATTAAAAGTAAATGTTACAGTTTAATAATGCAATGCAATGGGTTCTACAGCCAAGTTCAAGGTACAACAAGTATAATATTTTCAAACTTTAATTTGAACCAATTACTGATCACAAACTATGCACAAAAAGACGTCAAGAACATATAATATATGAATTTAAAAATCGAAAATGAAAGAAACATTGAAGTTGAACTTCTTACTTGTTGATATGCATGGAAGCAGAGTGCAGCAAGGAGAGATCTAATGTAAACCTGTCTGACATTCAACCCCTAAAAAAAAAAAAAAAAAAAAAAAAAATCAGAAAATCTAACGCAAAAATGATGCATTTTATGTGAACAAATAGATAACTGAACAGAAACAATTTGTAGCATTCTAGATTTACTCACAGCAGATTGTAGGTATGCAGGGGTGACCTTGACTCCTTCCATGAAAAGAGTAAATGGAGTCAGCAAGAAGAAGGACATAATTGTTATAATTGAGAAGAGAGTAATGTTATCCAAAGATTCCTGCAAAACATCAATATTAGTTACGTACTTGAGAAAATAAAATAAAGTAACAGAACACATGCAGAGACTGACACACACACAGTAATCTTCCTTTTCACTGGGGAGCAAGAATAATCTTATATATATATATATAATCATGACAAATTATTTGTTGCTACCAACTTTCTAGAAGTACCCAAAGTAAATAAAGAAAACAACAAATTTTTCCACCTTACAGCACTCCGATCTATCAAATTTCATCAATGAGGAAAAGAACAAACTATACCAAGTTAGTAGTACATGACATCAAGGAAATAAAACCATAAGTGAATACCTCTTTCTTGACCATAAACTTTTTGCTAAGGACATTACGAGATTGGTTGGTCAAATTAGAAGCCATTGCACTCCAAAACCCAGGCCTGTTTCACATATAGAAAAACAAAAAAATAAATGAGATTGTACATGAGAATCTGGGATAACAACTTCGACTACTTTTGATCATATATAGAAAAATCCAAACTGGACATGGGTAAAAAGGAACCTATAGGCAGAATGCTGTGTGATCTCTATATACTTTTTCCCCCCTTTTTCAGAGTTTTTGACAACAAAAAGGGTGAGAAACAATTTAAAGCAAATGTGTGTGTATTTTCTCACCAATTAAAAGATGCCTCTGTCATTGACGCTAGTCCCACTCCACCAACAATTGGTAACAGAGAAGCAACCACCCACAAGGTGGGTATCTGTTCTTGCAACACAAGAAATAGATTGGTTAAAAGTTAAAACACAACTTTCACAATAATGAACATTTGCCATTATGAACTCTACAAATCATTAAATTATTTCATACAACATTCCTATGTTGTGCTGTGTGCACCACCAACAGTAGTCAACAACAAAAATAAGAAATTACAAGCAAATATTTTCAGAAACATATAAAAAAATGATTGATGGCAAATTAAATGGGTGTACTCACTTCATTGTTATTTTATATAATAAAATAATAATTAAAAAAATTTTGTCACTCCAACCAGATGGCAAGGGAGAGAAATCATTCAAATAGAGTCAATTCCCATTCACTTCTAAAATTTTCCAACAAAAAATAGTAAGAATGAGGATTGGTTTAGAATTAGGGAAAGTGTAAGAGAAAAATTTAAAAATTTCAATTTTGTAAAAAATGTAATTAGAAAAATGGTGTAAGAAGATAAATTGGTGGTACAAGTAAAACTACCAGACACTAAATTCTTAAAACCAAAAGGAAATTCATTTTTTGTTAGACAGATTTACCCATGTATTTATTTTGATCTAAAAAATTTTAAAATCCATAACTTCAATTTTACAAATTAATTTTTAACAAAATTGATATTTGTCTATTTTTTTTTTTTTTCCTCAGGATGGGAAGAAAACATATGAAATGCACACCTCCCCTAAAAACATAGCAGAGAGGACAACTGAGAAGAAGGGCTCCATGGCTTTAATAGTGTGAGTGAATGAAACAGCAACTTTTCCAAGACTCATGTTTGTGAAAAGGTTGCCTAAGGTGTGCACCACTGCCAATGGGAGAATTGCTACAAGCTGTCACAGAAAAAGACATATTAATCAGAGTCATCATGATGATGGCAACCTAAATACATGAGACATTCATCCCGTCATACATAACGATACCTGTGCACCACTAATTTTTGGCCGTCTGTAGAGATTAGATGTCCACATAAAAAGAACAAGTATAGTCCCAACAGCAAACTGAACAGTGGTTATAGTTATTGGATATGGGAACACTTTCAAAACCTGTGAACAAAAAGTATCTGTAATCATGCTTTTTATCTCCTTGTCAAAAGTTTCAGCATTCAAATTCAATGGATAATTGACAATCATCACAACTCATGTCATTCAATAATTAATTGCGTAGTGAACAATAAAAAATGGTCCTTTGCTTGCTACATCATAGCTCAATAAGCTTTCACCATACGAAATGATTATTATTGCACGTTTCCTCAAACACTAAAATTCAACACAATTCCAAATCATGAAAGCTATTGTTTGCAACATTTGCCAACAATCTAATAATTTCCACACACTTCAACATTTGTATGAATTAAAAGCAGGGCAAAGCAATATATATGTACAAGCTCCAAAATCACTAAAATAAATAAATAAATAAATAGAACAGTAGAATTTGATCAAGTGGTCGGTCAAGAGACGGATATAGAAAAGAAAGAAAAAATCAACAACTTTTAACATTAAACTTCAGGAATTAGGAATTTCTAAATATCACTATAAATAAAAATTAAAAATCCATGAGGTTGTGTTTGGTTTGAAGATTTGAAGAGAGATTTATAAAGGAAACGGAAAAAAAAGTATGTGAAATTAAGTAAAATGTAAGATTTCACCTATATTTTTCCTTTCAAAATCTCTCCTCAAATTCTTAAACCAAACTCACGTAATGTTTGGTAGGAGGATTTGATGAGGGAAATAGAAGGGGAAAAGGAAATAGAAAGTGAAGGAGAAAAAATTGATAGGATTCAAATAAGTAATGTTTGGTTGAGTTGGGAAATAGAGAAAAAAAAAAAAGAGCCTAATACTGTGTTTAGTTAAGGGATTTGAAAAAAAATTTGGAAAGAGAAATGAAAAAGGTGTGTAAAATTAGAAAAAATATAAGTATATTTTATTCATGTTTCACCTATCTTTGTCCTATCCCTTTCCAAATCACTCCCCAAATCCCTCGACCAAACACAGCATAAAACTAAACCAAAAGACAAAATGGGATTGCATTATGGGATCACATTTCCCTCTTATTTGTATTTTCCATTATAACCAAAGAAAAACTGAGATTGCATTTCATTTTCCTTTTCTATTTCTCTCACCAAATCCTCCAACCAAACTCAGCCTTACAGATGAAATTTAGCTTCATTTCATTTGACTTGTTCATCTTCTGAAATATATACAACAGTTGTATTCTCGAGACACGTATGCATGCATACACAACACATACAGAGAGGCAGAATCGCAGATAAAACACAACCAGAGACAGATCGGAGCAATAAAGAGCAACACAATCAACAAACCTCAAATTAAGCACAACAAAACACATAAAATGATGCATAACAACAACACATTCAGAAAACGACGATAACCTATAATAAACAGATAGAGAAGAATCGTATATGCCTGTTTGTTGTAGATGTTGAAATATATGTTGAAAAGGTACCAAAGCCCGAAGAGAGCCCCAAGTTGCAACGTGCTGGTCAAGCTGCTCGTCTTTTCAATCTCTCCGGTACTCTCAGGTACCGACGCCGCCCTAACCACAACACCATCCGATCCTTGCTCCTCCGGCGGCGGAGACGAAATCCAGCCATTCAGTCCCCGAAAAGACGAAGAACAACGAATTGAAGGGAATCGAGGAAGCGAAGAGCCAGAGAGGCCATTGATGGAGGCGAAATGGAGCGATCTCGAAGGGGACGATGGGGATATAGGATTCAAACTGTAGATCGAAGGCCTTCGAGGCTTGGAAAGTGAAATTGAAGGAGAGAAGGTAAATGCAGTGGTCTGCATTTTGGAGATCCGAATGAGAGTGGAAAGAGAAAGTAGAGAGAGAAATGGAGTGGAGGCGTTGGCGACACTGTCGAGAGAAGAGGGAAGTGGGGGGTCGGGGGTAGGTAGTAGTATAGAAAAAGAAAGATTGGACGGAGAGAGAAACAAAACCAAAGAGGAATTGGAAAGGAAATGAGAGGGATATTCTTGCGATTTTGGTTTTCTCCGGAATTTGGGGTGGGGTTGGTGTGTGTGTTTCGCACGAGATTTTTGAATCATGTGGAGACGTCTGACGGTTGGTTTGAACTTGATTATTTTATGTTACGTGTGTGGTTTGTTACGCGTGTGGTTAAGCGATTTGATGAGAAATTAAAAAAAAATAAATGTAATGAGAATAAAATATATTTAAATTTTATATATTTTTTTTCTTTTTTTTTTAAATTTCTCTTAAAATCATCCAATCAAACACAGCATAAGTATTTTTTTATTTTTTAATTATTTTATGAGATAAAAAAATTATGTATTTTGAGTAATTTGTAATTTTTTTTTATAGTTGAATAGATTGGTTATGAAAAGAAGTTATTTGGTGGTTATAAGGTACAACCATATGGTATCTCATGTAAGTTCTGATTGGTGAAAATATGAGTTTCACGATTGTGTTAAGTGATCGAGAAACATAAGGGAGGGGTCGTGGTGAATTATAATTGGTTAAGAGTAAAGACACGTGGTGTCCTTGGACCACGATATAATTTTCGATTGTGAGAGAAAAAGTGATTATTATTGTGTAGAATGTCATATTTTATTTTATTGATTATTATAATTAATTAATTAATTAATTAATTTAATAACGAGTTAGATTAGGTTAGTCTAGAAGTATAGATATTAAGCTCGGCCCATTAATGTGGTCTTTTGGCAAGTTGTGTTAAAAGTTGCGTTTGCAGCTTGGGGCTAAAAGAGCTAGATGGCTTTTTTAGCTATGGAGTCATTTGGCAAGTCTAAAAAAGCTATATATAAAATTACAATTATGCCATTTATGTTATTTAGGGTTATACATGGGTGAAAATGTAAATTTTTTAAATTAGATAGGGTAGCTTGGTTATTTTATTGTGATGTGACATCATTGTTGGAAAAAATAATTTTACAGTGACTTTAATGTGAAATTAAAGTAGGTCTCAACCATTGGTTGAGGTGAGATTAAATGTGTATAGATTTTTTGTAATAAGATCTTTACACCACAAAAAGAATGATAAAAAATCATTAAGATTTGAATGAAAAATTGACTCATTAAATTGGCCTTATGAAAGAGGTGTTAGGAAAGGTGGCTGTAGAATTATACACAATACACGTGTATAAAACTTGGTAACTCCTTTGTATTCATGATGGATTAAAAGCCATCAATTTTGTAATTTATGTCTCGGGAGTTTTGCAAAATTAAAACCTGCATTTGTTGCAGGAGCCTTTTCCTTTCTCCCTCCATGTGTATAAAAGGAGACCATCTCCTTCATTCTTCTACACCAAAAGGTTTGCTCTTCCTTTGTGTTAAAAGTTTTCCTCTAGAATTTTTACTTTTCCTGTGTGAGAGAGTGCTGCCATTGTCGGACGTTTACTACAAAGACTCGGAGAGAGAGCACACTAACCCTGCATCAAAAAATGTAGCTATTGGCCTTGAACCTTTCGTATTGAAAGCCTATCGAATTTACTAGCTAACTAGTTAACGTGATGTCTCAAATTGTTCTGTCGTTTGTGTAAACTGAGACAATAGACCTCACATAGGAGTCAGTCCAACCACTGTTCTTGTTCTCATTATTGTGTCCGATATGGCCCTGGAGCACTAGCCTAGTTCAGTGAGTGGTTTTAAAGAATTCGGCCTTACCAATTTTTAAAGAAGCGACCCCTACTTCGTACTCACATAGGTGACCTATATAAGGTATTTCATTATATCACAGTTGATTATTCATATCACTTAGGTCATTAAAAGTATTAACTTAACCTTCTACCCCCACAGGGTATCACTGTACAAAGGAATGGACAACAGGATTTACCTTTTCAATGACTTACCCGTTACACGAAATTAAGTTGTCCCTTTGAACCTAGATTTTAGGATTTACAGTCAACTAGGTTGGGTTTTCCGTTCCAGTAACATTACTAAAGGCCTTAACCCCATTCCTCTTGACGACGTTTCCACTAACTCTCGAGTTAATCCTTTGGTTAGCAAATTCGCAATGCTGTCCTTAGACTTTATATAGTTTAGAGAGACAACCCTATTAGAGAGTAGTTGTCGTATGGAATTATGTCTACAACGAATATGTCTAAACTTTCCATTATACATATGCCTTTGTGCCGGTCCAATCGCCGATTGACTATCACAATGAACACAGATAGCAGACATAGGTCTCGGCCAACGTGAAATATTCTCAACAAACTAGGGAAGCCATTCAGTTTCTTTAATTGCTTTATCCAAAGTAATAAACTTAGATTCCATCGTTAATCTTGATATATACGTTTGCTTGGAAGATTTCCAAGACACGGCTGCCACTCCGAGGGTAAACACATAATCACTAGTGGATTTGGAGTCCTTTATATCAGATATCCAATTAGCGTCACTATACCCTTCTAGTACCGCCGGATATCTAGTATAGTGCAGCCCATAATCCCGGGTGTAGCGTAATTAAGCTAACACCAGCGTAATGTCTCTCTAATGAGTGGTATTCGGATTACTCATGTATCTACTAAGCTTGCTAACAGAGTAGGTTATATCCGGCCTTGTACAACTCATCAGATACATCAAACTTCCAATGTCCCGAGAATATTCTAGTTGCGAGACACTCTCACCATTATTCTTGATCAAATGTAGACTCATGTCTACCGGTATCCTAGACACACTTGTTTCTGTTTTACCAAATTTCTCAAGTATCTTCTCAACATAGTGAGACTGAAAAAGTACAATATTATTAGATGTTCTGATAATCTTAATACCCAAAATGACATTTGCAAGGCACATATCTTTTATGTCAAACTTAGAGTTTAACAATCTTTTGGTAGTTCTAATCATCTCATCATTACTACCAACAATGAGTATGTCATCAACGTATAGACACAAAATGACATAACCTCTATCAGTATCTTTGACATAAACGCATTTGTCACACTCATTGATTTTGAACCCATTTGACAACATAGCATTGTCAAACTTCTCATGCCATTGTTTAGGAACTTGCTTCAAACCATACAATGATTTGACAAGCTTACAGACTTTCTTATTTTATTCTGGAGCTGAAAACCCCTCGGGTTACTCCATGTAGATTTTTTCATTCAAATCTCTATTTAAGAAAGTTGTCTTTACATCCATCTGATGTATCTCCAGACCACGTAAAGATGATATTGCAATCACCATGCGAATAGATGAAATCCTTATCACAAGTGAATACGTATTAAAGTAATCTAGGCCTTCTCGCTGCCTGTATCATTTGATAACTAGCTTAGCTTTGTACTCATCAATTGATCCATTTACTTTCATCTTTCTTCTAAAGATCCACTTGCTCTCCAAGGCCTTACTGCTTGGAGGTAGATCAACCAACTCTCAAGTATGATTCTGTAAGACGGAGTCAATCTTACTCTTAATTGCTTCTTTTTCCAAAGGACTTTCAAATGAAGTCGTAGCTTCATAGAAAGTTTGAGGTTCTCCCTCTAACATATAAGTCAAGAACTTTGGACCAAAGGACTTTGCGGTCCTAGCCCTTTTACTCTTTCTTGGCTCATCTACTTCCTCAACTTGATCATCTATGTGATCATTGTCACCTTCAACATTTTCATAGAACTGAAACCCCTTCTTGGATACGACAAGGAAATACATTTTCAAAGAAAGATGCATTTCTGGATTCTATGATAATATTCTTATGTATATCTGGAATAGCAGACTTAAACACAAGAAATCAATATGCACTGTTATATTGTGCATAACCATTAAATACAAAGTCAATGGGTTTTTAGGCTTATCCTAACCCTCTTGGGTTTAGGTATTACCACATTTTGCATGATACCTCTACATTTGTAGAATTTATACAAAGGCTTTTGTCCTTTTCCAAAAATTCATACAGGGTTTTTAAACAATTCCTTGTGTCACAATGATTATGAAACTCTCAAAATCATATTACAGTAAATACATTCCTAGAATGCCATCAACCGAATTAGGCACCAAAATATATTGTTCCAACCTATCACTCTGAAGCCAAAAGTCTTACTATTAGGAAACACAGGTCCAGTGTTTAATAGTCTACTGTTCGAAACGTCAAAACATGACTAGTAGTCTTATCATTAGGAATTACTAATTTCTTAGCACGCGATCAGTAGATTTTTTACTACTAGGAATCACAATGTTTTAACTTGTGATCAATAGTCACCTTACTACTAGGAGTCACAACGTCTTGACATAGGATCAATAGACTCTTTCATTATTAGGAATCATTATGTTTTGACATATGATCAGTGGCCTCTCCACTACCAGAAACCATCACGTCTTGACATGTGATTAGTAATCTGTTTACTACTAGGAACCATAATCTCATAACTGTGTAGCCAGTGGTCTAACACCTCCTAGGAACCATCGGTTTTCTATCATTGTAATCAGTGATATTGTACTCACTAAGAGCCACAAATACATTTGGAATTAAAAAATTCAAAAATATACTCACGCACCCTAACGAGTTGTTTCATCTTTGCTTTCAAGCACAGTCACATAGCAATCATATGTGTTATAACTGACACAAGCATAACATACTAATCGCTTCTAATTAATTCAGAGATATTATCTTGCAATCTTATGATTTCCTTTAATCACACTTGATCTCTCTAGATCTTCCTTTAAGAACCTCGCAAGGCTTTAAGGTTGGCAAGTGGAACAACATTTCTATTGTCACCTCTTGAAGCCATTTCTAAAAAATCACAACAGAATTTCATTATTCTGTTTTTCCAAACACTAAACTTAACACTAGAAAATTCAAAGTTTGAAATTTAATTCAAAACTGATCTCACCACTTAACGTAGAATCAAACATGGTCAAGCAAGTTTCCAGGAAGATTAGAGGGGTCACATCGGTTTCATTTAAACCCAGTTAACCTTTTGACAAAACTTTCAAGAGCATGTTGACTCCTAATCCATGCGAAGCAATTTTTAGAATTAACTTTTCCAAGGGATGAACTAGGTTAAACCAAACCAAGTTCCAAACTTACG